GTCATGGCGGACTCGAAATCAGAGTACAGCATATGCGAGTGGTGTCTGCCTGCCTGATCGAGGGTGAAGGCAGTGAGCCAGCTTAAAATTATGACCCAAAAAGAAAACTTCAATAAACTTGGCTATAGTGACTAAACTTCTGAGAATCAAAAATACAATCGAAGCTAAAGACAAACAAGGTGGGAAAGTCTTTGCTACAAATATGACCAGACTTCGTCTCTGCTACATAAGGAGGTCCCCCGGGGCTCGGGGAGCACTTGGGGGCGCTCACCAAGTCAGGCCCCGCTGGTGCACACACCCTCCCCGCGGTCCCAAGGGGCTCCCGGACCCATCCCCCTGACGGCCAGTTGGCCCCACACGTCCAGGTAAGCCGCCCCAGTCTTCGGCGCTCACGGGGCAGCTGTGGCGCCCTCACAGACGGGGCGAACGGAAAGCCCACATGCCCCTCGGCACCCGTCCCCCGGCCTGGCAGACAGCGGTCCCCAACGGCAAAGGCACAGAGCTTATGAGCGGACGAAGCAGCGTCCAGCCCAAGGCCTTCCTCAAGGCGGGCCTGCTTGTGGGGACTGCAGGGTGAGGCCACTGCTTATCTCTGGGGTTGGCAGGAAGGAAATCCCAGAAAAATTTGTCCTGGTGCTGGCCGCCCCACGTGTTAGGTCGCGGGCAGCCCCTCTGTTTGGGGCGGAAGGGCAGACCGCACGGAGAGGGTGACAGCACACATCCCGACACAGATGCCCATATGACCGCGGTCTCGTGGCTCCGCTTCTGGGGGTCCTGGGCGAGTGAGCAAACGTGAGCGTGGCTTCACGCACCGGGGTCCCCAGCCGGGCAGCGCCCAGGCTGGAACCCGCAAATGACCGCGAGCAGCGCTAGGGCAGCTCAGCATCTGAAAAATACGGACCAGGGTCCTCATCTAATGTCTCGTGGTGTTAACCGGGGGCCGTGAAGCACGAGGCCGTCTGCACCGCGTGGTCTCAGCAGCACCCAGTCCGTGGGTGTGAGGCTGCGCCCGTCTGCTCCGTGTCTGCAGAACCTTAAACAGGTCATTTTAAAGTTCGGGAAAGAGGGAAGCCGTTTCCTCAGGTGACAGAGTCACGCGGAAGAGACGGGGAGGGGCACAGGCGGCGGGGCCTCGGCGGGGCTCGTGGTGGCGTCCCTGCTGTCCCCGACTCCGTCCCCAACACTATCCCTGACTCCGTGCCTGCTGTCCCGACACTGTCCCCGACTCCGTCCCTGCTGTCCCCGACTCCGTCCCTGCTGTCCCCGACTCCATCCCCGACTCCGTCCCTGCTGTCCCTGACTCCGTCCCTGACACCGTCCCCGACTCCGTCCTCGACTCCGTCCCCGACTCCGTCCTCGACTCCGTCCCCGACTCCGTCCTCGACTCCGTCCCCGACTCCGTCCTCGACTCCGTCCCCGACTCCGTCCTCGACTCCGTCCCCGACTCCGTCCTCGACTCCGTCCCCGACTCCGTCCTCGACTCCGTCCCCGACTCCGTCCTCGACTCCGTCCCCGACTCCGTCCTCGACTCCGTCCCCGACTCCGTCCTCGACTCCGTCCCCGACTCCGTCCTCGACTCCGTCCCCGACTCCGTCCTCGACTCCGTCCCCGACTCCGTCCTCGACTCCGTCCCCGACTCCGTCCTCGACTCCGTCCCCGACTCCGTCCTCGACTCCGTCCCCGACTCCGTCCTCGACTCCGTCCCCGACTCCGTCCTCGACTCCGTCCCCGACTCCGTCCTCGACTCCGTCCCCGACTCCGTCCTCGACTCCGTCCCCGACTCCGTCCTCGACTCCGTCCCCGACTCCGTCCTCGACTCCGTCCCCGACTCCGTCCTCGACTCCGTCCCCGACTCCGTCCTCGACTCCGTCCCCGACTCCGTCCTCGACTCCGTCCCCGACTCCGTCCTCGACTCCGTCCCCGACTCCGTCCTCGACTCCGTCCCCGACTCCGTCCTCGACTCCGTCCCCGACTCCGTCCTCGACTCCGTCCCCGACTCCGTCCTCGACTCCGTCCCCGACTCCGTCCTCGACTCCGTCCCCGACTCCGTCCTCGACTCCGTCCCCGACTCCGTCCTCGACTCCGTCCCCGACTCCGTCCTCGACTCCGTCCCCGACTCCGTCCTCGACTCCGTCCCCGACTCCGTCCTCGACTCCGTCCCCGACTCCGTCCCTGCTGTCCCTGACTCCGTCCCCGACACCGTCCCTGACTCCGTCCCCGACACCGTCCCCAACTCCGTCCCCGACACCGTCCCTGACTCCGTGCCTGCTGTCCCGACTCCGTCCCCAACTCCATCCCAGACGCCGTCCCCGACACCGTCCCTGCGCTCCCCGATTTCGTGCCTGCTGTCCCCCGACACTGTCCCTCCTGTCCCCGACACTGTCCCTGCTGTCCCTGACACCATCCCCGACACCGTCCCCAACACCGTCCTTGTCACCGTCCCCGCCGTCCCCCGACTCCGTGCCTGACACTATCCCTGCTGTCCCTGACACCGTCCCCAACACCGTCCTTGTCACCGTCCCCGCTGTCCCCCGACACCGTCCCCAACACCGCCCCGCCTGTCCCCCGTCCCTCCACGCCAGCCGCCTCCTCGTTCCTCGTCAGACACAGACGTTCCTCACGGCCCTGTGTTCACCAGCAGGGTCCTAATGGCAGAGACTGGGTCACATGCCCACTTCCTGGAGCGCCCCACAGCTAGAGTGCTCGGTGGGGCGGGGGCGGGGGGGGGGTGTTGGTTGCCATGGAAACTTCAGAAAGATTAAAACATAATACATGTCATACAGTTGGTTATGATTCCGCTCTTAAATCATGTGCACCCCCCATGTGATTCAAATGCATCGTATATACGCTCCATAA